CGAAGCGTTAGTCTGTATGTAAGCAGTGTGAGAATCTCAGCATGAAAAACAATGAGAAAGTACCTGGCTACAACTCCAAAGTGATTATGATCACAAATGAGATGAAGTCGTGTGGAGAAACTCTCTTTGATTAAAAGATCATTGAGAGGGTACTTAGATATCTTACTCCTCTGTTTTATTATATTGTGGTAGCAATTGAACATTCTAAAAATCTTAGCACCGTGAGAATTGAAAATCTGCAAAGAAGTCTAGAGGCACAAGAGTTGCATGTGACTGAGAGAAAATATGAAAGAGAGGTAGAGCAGCAGGCTTTAAAGCAGATTTTGGTAAGAAATATCAAAAGAAATCTTTGTCAAAAGCCAGGAAGAGATCTGATGGTGTTTAAAATTCAGAAACCTCAACTTCTAAAAGGAAGAAGAGTGCTCAAAAGGGGAAAGAGAAGTATGATAAGAAGAAGGTCCAGTGCTACTATTGTAATAAGTTTGGACACTTCGTTGTTGATTGTTGGTCATACAAGGAAAGGAAGTCAGAAGAAGCAAAGATAGCCAGAAGAGATTTTGATGATGAATCAGTGTTATTGATGGCTTATAAATCTGATGCTGCGTATTTGTTAGACTTATGGTATATGGACACTGGCTGCTCAAATTATCTTACTGGAAATAAGAAAGGTTTGGTTGATTTTGACTCTAGAAAGATGACAAAAATCAGATGTGCTGATGATAAATAACTCATCACTAAAGGTATGGGAAATGTCTGAGTAGTTCTGAATAATGGTAAAACTACATTGATTCAGAATGTGTGGTATGTTCCTGGCATCAAGATAAATCTGATGAGTGTAGGTCAATTAATTGACAAATGATTTATAGTTGCCATGAAGGATAATATTTTAAAGTTGTATGACTATAATTAGAAGCTGATTATGAAGTTTGAATAGGGGACTTTGAATGCCTTAGTCTAACAAGTGTTGTGAAGGAAAGTGAGTTGTAGAACAAAAGACTTAGTCATTTGAACTTCAAAATATTAGGGTCTGAATTCATAGAAGGTTGTACAAGGAATTCCTGCAATTAAAAAGTCATAGAAGTCATGCAATGTGTGCATAAGAGGAAAGCAACCAAGACTGCCATTTGCATATGAAATACATCCAAGTGGAAAGCATGTTTTAAGTGTGGTGCATTTTGATGTGTGTGGACCATTTCTGGTACCTTCACTTGAAGGGAATAAATACTTTGATTCATTTATGTATGAATTCATAAGGATGACATGGAATCCCTTATAAAGTTCAAACAAGAGGTGTTTGTTGAATTTAAGAAATTCAAAATCAAGGCTGAGAATCAAAGTGGTCAGACTCTGAAGATTCTCAAAACTGATGGTGGGGGTGAGTATAACTTTACAGAGTTCAGAAATTTCTGTGAGGAGAATAGAATTGAGCATTAGGTGACTGCTTCATATACTCCTCAACATAATGGTCTTGCTGAAAGAAGAAACAAAACTTTGCTTGATATGACAAGGATTATGCTGAAGGACTAGAAGTTGCCTCACACCTTGTGGGGAGAAGTTGTTGCCACTGCACCATATGTGCTAAACATGTTTCCAACAAAGAAGCTAAAGGAAATTTTTCTTTTAGAAAAGTGGATTGGAGATAAGCAAAGTGTGAGACATCTGAAGGTGTTTGGTTCTGTGTGCTAGAGACATGTTTCAGATGCTAAGAGAAGGAAGTTAGATGACAGGAGCAGAGTTATGTTGCTTGTACAGTACCACAATACAGGTGCTTGCAATGTCTACTGTTATGTCACTAACAAGGTCGAATTTAGCAGAGATTTCATTATGAAAGAATCAGAAGTGTGAGATTGGGTGAGTCTCAATCCAATTCTGGTGTGGTATTAACACTTAAGTTAACTTTTGAAGAAACTTCAGAATCTGAAGGTTCTGAAGATGAGTCGGAATCAGTAGTTTATTCTGAAGGTGAGTCTGAAATGAGCCAGAGTCTAAAGGTAACTTTGAAGTTGAAGAAGACTCTGAAGGTGAATCTGATTTTGATCTAGATTTTGATGGTGATTCAGACTCTGGTAGAGATCCAGACTCTACAAATATTCCAAAATCTAAAGGTGGTCATGCCTCTGAAGGTGGTACTTCTAGGGTTCCAGCATCTGATATTGTTCCAACGTCCCAAGAAGATTATGAACAAGTTCAGTGGCAACAAAGAATCAGAAACATACCAAGGAGATTTGTATAGTTTAACATATTGCAAGATACTGGAATAATCTCTGAATGGGGAGTCATTCAGTGTGTCATGTTAGTAGACTCTAAACTAGTGAGTTTATAAGAAGCTCTCATGAAGAAAGTGTGGTTGGATGCCGTGAAAGAAGAACTTGAGGCTATAAAAAGAAACAAGACTTGGAAGTTAACTGAGCATCCAAATAATAAGAAAGCCATCAGTGTCAGATGAATTTTCAAGTTGAAACTGAAGCCAGATGGATCAATTAGCATACACACTGAAAGGTCAGTAGTAAGAGGATTTCTACAAAAACTTAGGTTAGATTACTTTAAAGTGTTTGCGCTTGTAGTGAGACATGAGACAATCAGACTAGTGATTGTGATAGTTTCTAAAAGGAATTGGCATCTGATGGATTTAGATGTAAATCTTCATTTCCGAATGATTCATTGCAAGAAGAGGAATATGTGTCACAAACTCCTGGATTTGTGAAAAAGAATCAAGAAGAGATGGTGTATAGGTTACATAAAGCGTTGTATGGACTGAAACAAGCTCCTAGAGCTTGGAATCTGAAAATTGATTCAATTATCATGCTTCAAAGATTCAGAAAGTATGAGATGGAGTATGGTGTTTATGTTCATCATACTTCTAAAGGAAATATGATTTTGGTGTGTCTCTATGTTGATAACATATTGCTAACATGGAGTCGTGAACATGAGATAGCTAACTACAAGTCGGTGCTGATGAATGATTTTGAGATGATTAATCTATGATTTTGAGATGCAATTTATGTACTCTGAGAAGGGTATCATTTTGCATTATCTGAAGTATGAACTAGAGCTTCTGAAGAGATTTGAGCTGCTGAATTGTAAGGCTGCTACACCTTCAGAAACAAATCACAAATTGGATTCTGATCCTGAGGGTGAGGATGTTGATGCTACAACTTTCAAACAGTTGGTTGGCTCTCTGGGATATCTCTGTAAAACCAAACCCGATATTTGTTATGAAATTGGAATGGTTAGTATTTTCATGAGTAAAACAAAGTGGTCTCATTAACAAGTTGCTGTCAGGATTCTGAGGTATATTAAGGGGACTCTGAAGTATGGAGTTTTGCTCCCTTCTAGAGAAAAGGTTAATTCAGAGCTGATGTGTTATTCAGACTCTGATTAGTGTGAAGGCAGAGTTGACAAAAGAAGTAATTCTGGATATTTGTTTAAGTAAATGGGAGATCCTATTTCTTGGTGTTCTAAAAAGCAATCAGTTGTTGCTTTATCAACCTGTGAAGCTGAATATATTGCAGGTGTTGTGGTTGCATGTCAAGTTGTTTGGCTTTTGAATTTAATGCAGGATCTAAAGATCAAGGTAAACAAACCTCTGAAACTGATGATTGTTAACAAGTCTGCAATCAATCTTGCCAAGAATCCAATGTTGCATGGGAGAAGCAAGCATATTGAGACTAAGTATCATTTTATGAAAAGTTAAGTCCATAATGGAGTGCTAGAAATTGTGCATTGTAGCATCCAGAAGCAGCTGACAGATGTTGTGACGAAAGCGATCAAGACTGGTTAATTTCTCCATTTGAGGGATGAAATTAGTGTTGTTAGTTTTTATTAGCTGAATATGAATTAAGGAATGGTGTTAGAAGTGATTCATATTTTGTAGTAATAGTAGTAGATTTTGTTAAGCTTAACCTATTAGTGTAGGTTATCATTTTACCTACATGGCATTATTGTTTGTGTATATAAGTAAGTAGTGTGCTTAGTCATTAAACAATGAGTTGTAATCATTCTCTATAACTGTTTGTAAAAGTAGTGGAAGTTTATTATTTTTCTCTCTTCTCTCTTTTTTTTCATCTTCATCTTCTTCATCTTATGCACTAACATGTTATTGATGGTGATAAAACTCCAAATTTATGTGTTGTTGATGATAATAAAACTCTAAATTTATATGTTTTTGTATTGTCGTTTTGTTGATGATGGTAAAAATCTATTGATCTATGTATTTAAGATTGTTGTGTATTAACAATATAATTAAATGGTCTTGATTGCCTTGCCTTGGACTTTCATAACTTGTGTTTGAATCTTGGTGGTGGTAATTTTTGTTTTTTTAACGTTTAAATTTTGAATAGTTTAAAAGAGATATTAAAATAGAAAATAAAAGTCATGTCAATTAAAATGGGTTTGATAAGGGGTTCATACATAGGAATTTTTATAAATCAAAAGTCAATGAAAGAATCACGCATTTTTTTGCCATAGATTTTTAAATTTCGCTCATATGACAAAAAGGAAATAGGTATTAACACTTATTATTAATAATAATAATAATAATAATAATAATAATAATAATAATAATAATAATAATAATAATAATAATAATAAAAAAAAAAAAATAGATGGTTTAAAGATTCATTTTCCTCGCAGAAACAACACTTAGTATCGTCAATCATACCGTACTTTCGCAATCTATCTTTCGTCGCTAATCTTCCATGGCAAGCAAGCCACAGCATGAAATTAGCTCGCGGCCTTGCGTTGTTACCATACATCATATTCCTCCACTCCACCGGCTGACCATAATCATGTAATTTAGCATACAATTTACTCATTCTAAATCCCCCCGTCTTGAAATCTACCTGACTGCTCATGTTTTGGAAATCCCCCTTGAGATTGAGAATACCTTTCATTATCCAGGAATCACTCTGTTTACACTGGATCTCCATCAGATCTTTGTTTTTGAGATAGTACGTTTGTATCCACTTAACCCAAAGTGAATCTTCCTTACCACTTAAATTTCAAAGCAGCTTCATTATAGTTGCTTTATTCCAAGCTTCAAGGTCAACGACGTTTAAACCACCATGGCTACGAGGGCTACAAATCTGCTGCCGAGCTACTGGAGCTTTACGGCTCCCTACAAAACCTCCTGTCCAGAGGAAAATGCGACAAATCGAATCTATTCTATGAAGAACAGTTTTGGGGAAAGGAAAACAAGTGAGCCAATAATGAGTCATTGCAAACATAATACTGTTAATGAGTTGCAGTCTCCCCGCATATGTCAACAGCCTCGCGGTCCAATGCTTTATCTTGCCCACGATCTTGTCAATTAATGGTGCAAAATGACAAACAGAGAGTTTTTTACCTGTTACCGGCACCCCCAGGTACTTAAAAGGCAGCTGACCCTCTTGGAACCCCGATGCTCTGAGAATATTCTGCTTATTCAGATCATCCATGCTAGCACAGTACATTCGACACTTTTGCGGATTTACTACGAGACCGGTAGCCTTCGAAAACATCCCATAAGTATTCATCATCTTTTCAACTGACACCTTATCTCCTCTGGCAAACATAAGTAAGTCGTCCTCAAAGCATAGGTTTGTGATTTTCAATTTTTCGCATTTTGGGTGAAAATTGAAGTCACAGTCCTCCTGCATCTTGTATAAGTACCTATTCAAACATTCCATAACAATGACAAACAGCAAAGGTGATATCGGATCACCTTGTCTAAGCCCCATTTTCGCTTCCAGGATGTCAGTTAGCTGGCCGTTGACGTTAAATCTATACGAAATAGTGGAAACCATAGTCATTACCCATTTCGCGAACTGTTGTAGGCAACCCACCTCAATCAAAATCTTTTCAAGCGCATTCCAATCAACCATATCATACGCTTTTTGAATATCCATTTGCATTAAACAACGGGGAGAAATACTTCTCCTTTCGTAACCTTTAATCAATTCATACGTGAGCAAGATATGGTTGTGAATTCTCTGCCCTTTGATAAAAGATGCTTGATTCGCACCAATTATCGTACCTAGAACATTGCTGAGACGGTTGGCCAATATCTTAGAGATCCTAAGATGGGCTCAAATTCACCATACCCCTGGAGATTGGCATAGCGAGCTGAAGTGGCTTATTCAACACACCAAAGGTAAAGGAGTCTGAGCTGCAGTCCTAAAAATGGCGATTTCTGAAACCATCTATGAGATTTGGCAGGCTCGTAATAATAATATTTTTGGAGAAAAGTCGGATATCACTACAATTGGGAGGAAAGTCATAGATACTATGGTGTATAGAGGTTGGACCACTAAAAAACTAAGGGAGTATATAGCTATTTTAATGATAGAGGGGGGTTAGATAGTTTGGTAGATGTTTTTTCCCTTTTTTGGTCCTAGATGGTCTTTTGTAGCTGGATCCATTGGGATCGCTTGTATCTATCGTCTTTTTTTGAGTAATATAATTTTACTTTTCAAAAAAAAAAAAATTAAAAAAAAAAATTAATAATAATAATAATAATAATAATAATAATAATAATAATATCATTAAATTTCATTATGTTACTAAAAAAAAACTATTAATAAAATTATGACTCCTTACCTCCTACATGATAGGCACAAAGTGTAACAGCAACATCATGTATGAGTTGAATTAGTTTTAGATGAATCCGATTCTTCATCACTCAAGTAGTTTTAACCATAGTATCAAATTACTTACCTATTATTATTACACACATGTCAACTAAAAATAGCAAATTAAGACATTAACATTACTTTTTTATTACCTTAAGACTAGTTCTTTGTGTAACACAAGTAGAAACATTCTTAACCAAAACTATAATTTCTCTCCTATAATATATAAGCAACCAACACTCTCTTGAAATTCACAACACTCTCTCATCAAACACAAAAACTAGTGGAAAAAAAGTGAACACCAAACATGGCTATTGCTTCAAAGAATGTGCTAGTTTTTTGCATTGGAATGCTTCTTGTAAGCTTATGGTGCATGAAAGTGAATGGCCATGCACATGAACATGTACTTGGACATGGACATGAACATGGACATGAACATGGACATGGACATGGACATGGACATGGACATGGACATGGACATGAAGATCCAGCTGTTGGATGTAACAGCAAACATTCAGATGCAGGTGAAGAATGCACCGACGAAGATGATCATCTTGGATTGTATTCCGATATTGATGATACTTTTAAGAGCTTGAGAACAGCTGCTGGTATGAAGATGGGAGAGAGACATGGAAATCCTTTTTCAGGATGGGCTGATGAGGAATCTCCTAATGTTGCACACAATAATGTTGATGTTTTGGGACATTGATTTCATCAACTTGAAGATTGGAGAGAGGTTTTTTTTCATGTTATGAGTTTGGTTTTGTTGTTAGAATAATAATCTATAGCTTTTCTTTTCATTTTGCTAAGACTATAGTTTCACTTTTTGTTTTTTCTTTCTTTTCTCTTTTTCTATTTTGTTTTCCCATTTTGTATCTTGAATTCTATAGAATTTTTAGTGTTGTTGGAAATTGCTACTTAAGAATATAAATGGTAGAATTGTCAATTTCTTAAAATTAACTAACATTAAAATTTGATCCAAAAAAACTAAACATATTTGTTTCTTTTAAGACATTCAAAAAATACAATCAATTATGATTTTTTTTACATAAACATGTGTTTAATTCAGAACTTTTAAAAGAGATTATAGAGTGAATCGAATCACTTAGTTGAAATGTTGTTAAATACAATTACTTATGACGTTTTTTTTTTAAATAAACACATATTTGAACTTTTCAAAAAAATGTATAAAGACGAATCGAATCACATAATCGAAATGTCTTTAAATAATTAAACTATTTTTTATAGTTAGCAAACTAAATCATAGTTTATCAAACAATTCAATAACCAAACCAAATCATTGTTAACTAAATCAAAACTACTCAATCAAATTAATGCTAAATTGTAATTTTAAAATTAAAATATTGTTTTAATTATCACTTTATTACATAACTTTTTAGTTAGATACTGTACATAAACTATTGTTGAGAATAAATTGTATCAATTTAATCTATAGACATGATAAACGATTTAGAATTTAAGTTGAATATTTTAGAATTTTTAGACAATAAGTTTTTATTGGTTCAAATTATAACATAATAAATTTAAATGTTAGGGCTTAATTGTTAGGCCCTAATAGTCTAAAAATAAATTTAATTGTTATGCTCTAAGAGCATCTTTAATTGGAGTAAACTAAATGAGTAAACTAAAATATTTTTTATGGGTCTAAAAATTTATAGTTTGATTTGAATAATTTTTACTTTAACGGTGATTGTCTATAAAAAAACCAAAACTTGACCCCACTATTTTATTAATTAAATAAATAATATTATAATATATTTCACATAGTTAACGTTAACTATATAGATGATAGAAACTAAATTTTAGTTCACTTAGATGTCATATCAACTCTACTATAATAAACTTTTTATTAATAACGTAAGTTATACAAAATTTTGATTTAACAACCCTGCACTAAAGTTGCTCTAATATTGTACAAATATTTTACTATAATACAAATTTTTTATTACTAACGTAAACTATACAAAATTTTGATTTAACAACACTGCACTAAAGTTGCTCTAATATTGTACAAATATTTTACACATGCATGATCGATATTCTAAAGGTCTTTTCCAAAATTCTTTTAATGACAGCCAGTTGATTTAGTTCCGTTCAATTCGAGCAAATTTTTATTATTATTATTGTCCCATTCACCGTGCCTCATCTTCACCACATAAATCAATGTTTTCAAACAAATGCTTAAATCGGTGCGGCCACCGTGGCCAAATTTTGAAAGCGAATAAAGTCGGTCATGGCCAAACTTCAAAAGAGATTAAAGAAACTGAAGAATGCAACAACATTGCCCAATCGGACGCGGCCAAACTTCAAAAGAGATTAAAGAAACCGAAGAATGCAACAACATTGTCTAATTGAGTATATACTTCTATAGATAGAATTTCACTTGTAACAGAACAAAGAAAAGAACTTCAAAAAGTACTAAAATTTGATATAACTCAATATTACACAACCATCATAATGATTGATAACTATGAAAATATTTAAAATGATGAAGAAAATACTATAGAATTGACAAGTTCACTTATAATTGTTTGCTCCTGTAATAAACCTTACCACAAATCCAAATGTTTCTGCCGTTTGGTTGGTCAGAATCAAGATCCATCCATTTGAATATCAGTAACATTCGGATTCGGATTAGGTGGATTTGTATTGAAAGGATTTCCAGTAACATTCTGACCGGCTCCGAATGTGAACTCGGTAGGAGCTATATCAAGGGGTTGTCGGGTGAAAATTGACGGAGTTCCAGCGCAGTTGAAGGCGGGGAAGGCGGGAAAGGCGGCAAGTGGAGGTAGATCGTTGGGTTTTGGGAAGCCGAAGCTAATTGAAGATGGCCCTGCTAGAGATGAGAAAGCGGAAGGCAGAAGAAAAGAGTTTCCGGCAGATCCGAAAAGGGTTTTCTCGTATTCCTGTAGATGCTGGTAGGCGGCTATATTGAGAAAATATGAATGCTTGTTAGACAGATGGTGTTGAGATCGGAAACAAAACTGAAAACCGTAAAGAAAAATAAATACCTCCGGATAATTCGACGGAAGGTCTCCGTTCCTTTACCCACTGATAACTCTGTGCAAGTCTCCATCCTCTCGACTTCATCAGGTAGCCGATCACAACAGCCGGGGACCTGCAACAAGATATACATATGTAACTCCGATGTTACATAAAAACTTAAAAGACGAACAGATTTGGCCTATCATATATTGCAGCAATATCTTACCGACTCTTTCCTGACATGCAATGAACCAGAACACGCTCTTTATCCTTCTCACATTGCTCTGCAAGACAATCATGTGGTGTTGATTTCAATTTCATTATAGTGTAAATATAACATCAAGTGTTATAACGGCGTAGAAAAGAACGTTGTGAATCATAAGATACATGATATGTTATATAAATCAATGTTATCTAATATGGATGACGGTACAGGGTGAAAGACTAAACTCTGCCATAACCCTAACAAATATAATGATCAATACATAAATTTTCAGATGACAGGAAGGAACGTACCGAGAAACTGGTTTGCTTCATCAAACTGGAAACTTTTGTCATCCGGGAGACAGTGATATGTAAATGAGTTCTTGTACAGATTCTGACAAGAAGGGACAGTCTGCACAAACAAATGCAAGTATAAATGAAAAAGAAGCTAAAGTATAGATTAATAAAACTTATGCACAGAAGAAAAATAAAACAGAGCTGAACTAAAAGTAGGAAGAAGAGCAAAATGGTTATTTGTGCGCAAGAACGTAAAGTTACTCTTCGAAGGGTTCGGATTGAAATTTATACCCTTAAAATAAGACATCATGTTAAAAAAATTGAAGAACTTATCCACATAATTCAAATAGTGAATGCAATAGCGGCTGCGATAACGGTTGGGGCCACAATTAGCGGCCGTTACTACCGCTACTATTGACAGTGACTCACAAACCAATGGCATTGCACCAAACCCTACCACTGCTAGGCTATTCCGCTATTGACAACATAGTAACCATTAACTGCTAATACAATGTATTAAATAGCCACTATACGATAATACATTTGTAATGTCGCAATGCTGCAACGGGGCGAAATTTGAGTACCACCCAAATCTAAACAATATTGTGGCTTTCATGATGATGCAGAGCGCGGCGAAATTCGAACAAATTGCTATTAGTTTTCTAGAGTACAAAATAATGTCAAATATCAGCTATAGCTACAGCCGTGCTATAAGCGCACTACTACAACAACAACAATCAAGTGGAATCGGCTACATGGACCGAACAACGCGATAATGCTCGATCACAGAAATCTTTCTATAGGCTCACTATTGCATAGAAATTAAATCAAACCAATATTTTCCCGGATCCGATGATCGACAACACCACCGAATCCAAAACAACAAACACCAATCCTAATGCACAAACCCAATCCCAACACATTAAAACAATCAAGACACTCATGATTTCAATACAAAAACACCAAAGAAACAAGAATCATCATCATCACATAAAAGCCAATCATTGAATAAACAGAATCTAAATCATCAATTCAATTATTGAAAAAAACTGATCCTTACATTGAGGATACGTGAAATCCCCTGAGTCTTAAGAAGCTCAGAGCGTGAAGCGTTATCATAGCTCCCCAAGTAAAGAAACTCCGGCAAGATCACAGAAGGAAAAACACTAACTTGAATCGAACTTTTCTCCGATCCAACAGGAACCCTATGACCACAAATCGAACAAACTTCACCTTCTTCATATTTGTGATAGTGCCCACATACCCCACAAGGGTTTTCCCTCTCTCTTTTCCTCATTATCAACACAAACACCAATTTCCCTCACACCCAGATCGAAAAACAGAGCCTTTCACACAAATCAAACCTAAAAATCAGATCTTTATCCAATTTAACAAAAACCCAGATGAAAAAAAAACGATTTGAGATAGAGATAGAGAGAGAAAAAAAAAGGGTTTTGTTGTTTTGTGGTGACAGCAGAGCAAGAGAAGGAAAAGATAAAGAAACAAGAAAGGGTGAATTATAAGGAAGTTTCTTTTTTTTTTCTTTAATGGTTATGTCATCAATCAAGATATGATTCAATGGATTCAAATTCAATTCAATTTCGATAATGTGAAATTGTGAATGAATATGAATGGAAAAGGGAAAGGAAAACAGAAACCTAGTTTTTTGATTGAGTTAAGATTTTTGGATATTTGGGGGATTCGAGAATCTAAGGTTTTGGCACGTGATAGGGTGAATGAGTGAATAATTTATATAGGTTTATTATTCTATTAGATAGATCTTGTGATTGTATGAAAACTAGTCTAACACTCAATCTTTTTCTTTTTTCTTTTCTTTTTGACTTTGCTTTCTAGAAATTTAATAGTGGAATTTTATAATTGAGAAAAATAGTATTTTGATTAACAAATTCAATGTATGGTTTTTAAAAAGGATATTACCATATTAATAGTATTCTCTTGTTTTTTATATTGAATTTCTTTTAACTCCATCTCTCTTGATTTATATAATATATTACTCAATTTATATATGTTAAAAAATTAATAATACTGGTAAAAGAAATGATTAAATTACAATTTTAATCAAATTATAATTTTAATCTCTTTATTTTAGAACATTTACGAAATTAATTCTTTAATTTTTTTAAAATAATTTTAGTCCTTTTACTAATTTATGTTCAAACACGTGTTGACATGTCATTATTTCAAATAAGTGGCACAAATGAGATGATGTGTACATAGTCATTTGATTATTTTGTTTTTTGAGACCTCCAACATTTTAAATTAATTAGAAAAACACAATTTGATATGTTGGACATGTCTATTTTGTCTGTATTTTAGTGTTAGATGGGTCAAGAATTTAAGTTCTCATCTTTAATGTGTTTGTTCCGTCTCGTTTCATTTTTTTCACAGACTTTTGTAGACATACATATTTGTATAAATATTTACATTTTTAGATTAAAAGATAAATGGTCTACGGATTTTACTCGCCTCACCCTCACTTTTTTGCAGGACAAATCTAAATTTTAAAAACAAGATAAAAAAAATGGTGAAAAAATTAAAAATGTAAATTGGATTTCTTTTGAAAAATATGATTGTTGTTAAAAAAAATTAAATATCATTGATTCAAATTGTTGCTTCAATTCGGTCTTTTGATTTAGCAATCTCATTTTGATTTGAGATTAACGGTTGAAGCATGGACTTTCATTCTTAAATCAATTTCAAAATTTTAAATTAATATTTATTTGTGTTTTAATTATCTAAATTTAATTTAATAAAAATAATAATAAAAAATGTAAGAGAGGATGGATTACTACTAAGGCTCTACCTCCTCCTCCAAATCCACTTTCACTTGGATTCAGAACTGACCTTCATTGAGCATTCCATGAAGAAGCTGCAGACCATAATTTAGAAAATTGTTATGCACTAGAGGCTAGAGTGCGGGATTTAATCAAAGACAAGTTCATCAGCTTTCATGATACCAGTCCTAATGTCCAGTGCAATCCTCTGCCATAACATAGGAAATGAAGCGTCAATCAACTTCAGCTCAGTTACTTCCCCAAGATATGACAGCTCATCCTTGTGTTTGATTAGTCACTGACCTTGTTTCTTTCTATTTTTCATTTTCCTTGTTTGTATCATATTTATTTGCTTTCAAACTCATTTATCTTTAAATGTCAATTTTAATGAAATGAGCATGTACATTATTTTGATTCAAATCATCTGTTTATTTACATCTTTATGCTTTCTCTTTCAAAAACAAAAACAAAAAAATATACACATCTTATTCAAATTTTTGATTATGCAAATATTTGTGGGAGGATGATGAAAGCGTAATACCCATAATTGTTGTTGGTATGCTTTCGAATAGACTTTGCTGGCGATGTAAGGCATTTTTTCAATTCTCAAACACTAGAGGTATAAGGAAGATGATCCCTCGTTAACCCCTTTGAGCCTTGAAGTAGTAGTTTCTTTCTTTACAAAAAAACCCGCAATTTTAACCAAGGGTAGGGTAGTTCTCAGTTTAATCTGTTTGTGCATTCAATTACAAAAAGTTTCATACAAGACACCTTTCAACAACAAGTTTACATACAACAAGCAGGTTTCGAAGATATTTTTCAAAGGATGGTCGCAAATCAAGCGAACGAATGTTGTGCAAGGGATCGTTAAGTCCTTACTCAAAGAATGAGTTGAGTCCCTTTCAAGGCAAAATCTAAATGGGAAGCTCATACATACAACAAGCAGATATCGAAGACGTCTTTCAAATAAAAAGCCAATGATGGTCTGCAGTAATTATTAAATCAGGCAGTTACTTTCTCTCCAAGAAGAAAGATCATAAGAAAAAGTCCACTAAGTCAAAACCTATGAAGGGGACTCATGCAAAAACTAGGGCATCCTGCTGACTATAAAAGAAATAGTTTAGGCAAAAGTTAGGGATAACACAGAGAAGAGGTCCTTAAATCATTGATCCTCAAAAGGTCCACAAGGACAAAAACAACTAAATATTGTAAAAAAGCAGCAGCTTCCGTCTCAAGACTTATGGACCATCTTCATCACTATCATCAGTACAGTTTCAAACCTTTTGGAACCTGAATACACAATTTAAATTTAACCGAGCATAGGACTAGAGAACATCACGAAGTTGGGGTAGGCACAAACAAACTTTGAGCCTTTATCTTTCTTTCATAAACCGTGAACCAGACCACATTATAACCTTCAAAAGACCTAATTGAAGCAAGGTTATTTTGAAAGCACACTACAGCAAGGTTGCGTAAACTGACTCCAAAATCATTTTTTGCATATCATTTGTTTTGGTATCATACCTCTATTTTACTTTTCATTCTGAATGTTTTTAAAACCTCAGTGTTTTTAAACTAGTAATTCATACTGCTTTGCATTTTATAAACAATGATTATGTTTTCAAAAAAATTTGCATGAACTTTACATTAAAATTTCCATGTTTAAATAAACACTTTTTTATTGCAAACTAGCTTTCCTCTCAAGGAATTTTCAAAACGGTTTAGAAACTTGTTCAGTGATCCTATCAGGGGCAAGTTCCTTCCAGATCCTATTAAGAATTAGTTCAAGATTTGTTCAGTGCAAGTCCTTCTCAGGATTGGTTTATTCAAAAAAACTTTCAAAAATCATTATTGGGGGCAAGCCTTCCAAGTATACAACATACAGTCATTTTCATTCAAGCTGAAACAATGATTAGTTCATCTACAACAATTAGCAAGTCTAGGGCAAGGAAATCCCCAAGCAAGCTCTCCAACCTTCCTCCAAAGGTTACCAACCCGATACTGTTTACCAGTATGACAAAGAAGTGTTTAACAAGCAGCATCTTCGAGTCCTTAAGCAAAGTGGCAGTGATCTCTATGTTGAGGAATCAGTCTTCCAGTCATTTTCACTCCTCAAAGAGTCTAAACTTGTTGTCATCATTTTCATACATCATGCATAACAAAATTGTTTTAATCCTCATTTGTATTACATGCATTTAATCATACATCATAACCTTTTCATATCTTTGCATTTCAAGAGTGTTTTAATCCTCATTTGCATTTTCTCTAATTTTTACAAGAGTGTTTTAATCCTCATTTGCATTCACCAGTGGTCGTGTTGTTATCAACATCTTACCTTCTACAAATTCCAACTTACTTGGCACCTATACTTTGATGTTTTATCCGACGTTCCACCAGATTTGACTGTGTCTATCCGATTATTCTTCTGGATATATCTATTTGTTCTGATTCTTTTCTAGAACTCTCTTTGTGTCCATTCGATTGTTCTTTCGGATATGTCTGTCTATTCTGATGCTTTTCCACAACTTTCTCTGTGTCCATCTGATGTTCTTTCGGATATGTCTCGTTGTTTTGAAGTTTTTCCAAAACTCATTCTGATGTTCTTCCATATATGTCTATTTTGTTCTGATGCTTTTCCAGAACTCTCTTTGTGTCTAACTGATGTTCTTCCATATATATCTATTTGTTTTGATATTCTTCCAAAACTAATCTGATGTTTTTCCAGCTATGATTCTTTTCTAATGTTTTCTCAAAAAACTTTTGTGTTTATCCGATTACTCTTTCAAATATGTCTCTTTATTTTGAAGTTTTTCCAAAACTTGTTCCAATGTTCTTCTAGATATGCCTCATTGTTTTGATGTTCTTCCAAAACCAATCTGATGTTCTTCCAGATATGTATATGTTTATGATGTTTTTTCAAAACCTTTTTAAAACTCTTTCTGATGTTCTTCCAAATATGTCTCTTTGTTTTGAAGTTCTTTCAAAACTCTATCTGACGTTCTTCCGGATATATCTCTTTGTTTTAAAGCTTTTCCAAAACTAATCTGATTATTTTTCCCATCTATGATTCTTTTCTGATGTTTTTTCAAAATCTTTTATGTCTATCCAATGTTCTTCTGGATATGTCTCATTTGTTCTGATTGATTTCCCATAACTCTATTCATGTCTATATGATGCTCTCCCAGATATGACTTTTCTCATCTGATGCTTTTCCAGATATACTTTTTGTTCTGACATGCTTATCTGATGCTTTTTCAGATATGCCCATCATTCTGACAGTCTTCCAAAACTTGTTCCCGTACATTCAATGTTTTTCTGGATGTCTTCTTAAAAATCTCCTAATCTTTTCTTTCCATCTAATGTTTTTCTGGATGATGATGATATATTTCCAGAATGTTGCGTTCAATGCTCTCCTGAATGTCTCTGGTGTCTTCCTCGTTCATCCAATTCTTTTCTAGATGTACCTGATTTGTTTTCCAAATTTCATTCAATGCTCTCCTAA